GACATTTCATTAATTATTACTCAATTTTGAGGTGCAAACCTTCTGAATATAGCTTTCATTTTGGACCAAACAATTTGTTATGGCAATAAATAATGATGCATTGAAAAACCAATTTTTGTAAGTTAACAGCCCCCAAATATTGGAATTTTTGAAAAGACAGCATACTTGCAGTCCCTGTACTGAAGAAAGCAGAGTAAGGGCAAGAGAGAGCGAAGAACTTGGATGCAGCTTTCCCAGCTGTCTTCCTGAAATTCCACACCAGTGGATGGAATTGGTATTGCACATTTCCAAAACCAGATCCATAGTCCTTTCACTGCTGGAGGAATCAGAATAATAGGAATAAATCTTGTTTATTTCACAAAGAGGTACTGCGATATTTCTACTATTGACAGTAAACTTGTTTTCTCCGTATCGAGGAGAATAAAAATCAGAAAGAGAAAAGCTCTTATAACATTTATATGTCACCTAAGATAGAATCAGGAAGATGAAGTCACATCTTCTAGCACTTAAAACGGCCTCAGACTAGTCTGCCTGTCTGATGTTGGCCTTCCGGTTCTATTACTCAACACTGGCCTCCAGGTGCTGATCTGGTGCTGCCATTTTTCTGGGAGACTTCCACACATTTGTGACTAATCTTGTTGCCATATATTCTATTTCTGTTAGGTACTCTACAGGAAAAGAAGAAAACAACTGATTCTGGTCTTGTCCTTTTGATATTTAATCTATGTTACTTTACCATAACTTGGGAAACAACTGGCAGGATTCATAAGACGTAAATACTATTCAGGTTTGCTAACTGGATTATTTACCAAGAAAAGATTACTTCTGCTTATAACAGATATCACCGGTTCAGCTTAAATAAGTTAAAACAACTTTTAATGAAAGTATGCATATTGTTCTTTTTCAAATAACCAAAAGACTCATAACGAAAAATAGTCTCCTACCACCATTCATGGCTACTTATGGCTCTTTCAGCTGTTTATTCTTATACTTGGCTCCAAATTTTAAATTCCTTATTTAAATTTTATTTTTTTTAGACATATTGACATTATAATATTAACTTGTACATGTCTGTATCTCCCTAACAAATATTTGAGATGGCTACTATGTGCCAGAGACCAGGGTAGATGTACTACGTGAATATTGTTAATTTCACAAAAATTCAGTAAGACTTATATATGTTGTGTGCATGTGTCTGTGCATCTCTCTGGTGTGTAGGGGCAGGGAATGACATTTATATAGAGAGGAAATTAAAGATATAAGAGACATGTGCTTTTTAGAAAACTTATTTCAATCACCAAAAGTTAAAGTGAACACCAAAAGAAGTTAACTTTTGAAAAAAATAACACTTGTGAGCTGGTCAATAAACTGATTTGCTGAAAAAACTTAAAAAAAAAAAAGAAAAATTCCCCAACACCCTGTAACACCCTACAAGCACAGGGTCTTTGCCCTGTATTGTTGTTTACTGAGCTCACGATGTGGCAGACACTAAGGGCCATGTCCTTTCTCTTGAATAATTCACAATCGAGTGAGAAAGAGACTAATACTTATAGCAATATATGAGTGTCACTAAATACACAATATATGAGTGTCACTAAAAAAACTAAGTAAATATTTTCTATGATAGAGAAGGCATGAATACCTGTGCTTTGGAAAGTCTAGGTAGCTTCATAGAGGAAGTGGGTATTTCTGTAATTTTGAAGGATAAATATTTCCTATCTTTCTAATACAAAAAAGTCAGAATAAATATGGAATTAAAAGGATTATACATGCACACTAAAAGGGCTGAGATTCATCACTGCAATAATATCAAAATACCCCAAATAATAATACAAACCAAGTGGTAATACAAGTAGGAGCAGAGGGCATAGGACTGGAACTTAATTCTATTTTTTTTCTGGTTTCAAAGCCCTGTGCTCTTTGCTTCCTGACAGTTCAGATTATGCTCTCTCTTCACTGTCAAAACCCTGTTTTCGAATCAATGATTTCCCCTTACATTAAATCCATAAGCAATGTTTGGTTTCTTAATACTCAAGATACAGCTCAAGGACAAGTATGCCTCAAAAAATCTTACTACTTCAATTCATAATATATTAATACATAAGAACCTATTAGTTCATGTTTTGGTGAAGGAAGTATAAACAATGAATACCTACCTCATAGCGTGTGACACATGAACGAAACAAAATACAGAAGATGCATAATAAAATAGGCCCTTAACAATATGTAATTATACTGCTACCAGATGAAGAATTTTATAGCACTCAATATCAACATCAGAGAAGGCTATATGTTGAGGAAAACTTAAAAGGAGACAGTAACAAAAAGATTTTAAAATTCTCTTCTAGGTAGGTGAGGTAGAAAGGACATTCATCCACAAACAGTGGCATTACCTGCAGTTTGTTATTTTACAGGTAATATGAAAAGGTTCTTCAAGGTTTACGGTATCTGGTATTGCCTCCAAAGACAACCTAACGTCTCCATAACCTGGAGCCTAAGAAAACAAGCAACACAGTTAATGTATTATCTATCACAAAACCTTTCCATTTTAATGAAGGCACCACAGCAGCACATTTACTCAACAGCTGTTGGGTTTCCAAGCTGATATTCTAAGAAAATACTTCTGATTCACTTTATTCATCCCTCATTTTAAGTTCTTTGGCAGCTACTGCCTGTGGAATAGCACGGCAGACCTGGACTGTTTTTGTTATATAAATAATTATTCCATGTTCAGTAGAGTAAAGATGAATCTCACAGGTAAGCAGTCAGTAAAGAAATTTCAGGGACTTGAAGGGACACTTTCCAGATGCTGTAGCTTCTATGTCTGTAACTCTAAATAGGCAGTTATTGTCTAAAGAAAGAGCGGGATGATGTTGAAAGGAGCCAGGAAGAAAATCATGACTTTTTACAAGATGCACAGAGGAGGATAGACTATAACAACAGGAAGGCTTGGAACAGGCCGTGGTAGAAAAATAACTAATGGCTATATTTAAGTGGGCCCAGGGATGATCATCATCATCATCATCATCATCATCATCATCATCATCATTTTTTAAAATTACTGCCTCAGTGAAAAGAAAAGTAAAATTTGGAATATATCAAAACAGGTAATATTCAGCATAAAGGGAGGAGAATCCTGTTATATATTCTTATAAGCATAAGAAAAAGAAGCCTGATAGCTATCCCTACTCTCAGAGAAGAAATTAGGTAAAATATGCAACCAATGCTTATAAGATAACTTTAGTAGAACTCACCTTTTTTAACATCTTAAAAATGGTATGAACTGAGTAGGTAAATGAAGTAAGTCCAAGAGTTTCAGGACATTGCAAAATAGAAAACCTTAATGTGTTTGGAAGTCAGAAGAAGAGTGGGCCTGTGTTACCAAAGGAGGGACACTTGATAAACAGTTATTTTAATTTCTGTTTGATAAAGAACACATGTATGAAGGATAAATTTAACATTTGACCATTTTTCATTCACGGCAACATCAGTTTTCTACCTATCAGTGAAACTATTAATCTTTTCTTCTATAGTAGTATTAATGCCTTTTATAGTGCTCCAATTTTTTTACTGCTAGACGTAGAAAAAATTAAGTTGTTTTAACTGCCTGTCTCTCACACACCAAAACCCCAGTGAAGTTTTTTCCAAACTCACCATTCTTTGAAGTTGGCTGGTCTGTAACCTTCCCCTTTCACCTAGATTTGTTTTCCATACTATATCCAATTTTCCAATCACTGTTACTCCCTTAATGATGCCTGCTTTTTCTGCGAATTCCTTCTTTGGCTTTAGGCAGTATAAGTACTGGCGTGTATCCATTGGTTGCAAATATGCTCTTGACCCAAATGTAGACACACTGAGAGGGGTGGAGACAGAGATGGAGAAAATTCTCTAGCATCTTTTAAAAGAAAAACCATGGCTGTGATTGTTCCTTAGGATAGGAACTGGATGATGTACCCTCCAAAGATCAACAACAGAACATGTTAATGATTTCAACACAAATAAAAAGAATGTATACTGAAATGATTTATTTTTCCTTCATTTTTTTCAGTTGATATCGAAAATCTTGAGGTTCTTTATAGTAATTGGACCCTGAAAGGGGAGGTCCTTTTTTTTTTTTTTTTTTTAAAATAATTTTAAGAGACAGGGTCTTGCTCTGTCACCCAGGCTGGAGTACAGTGGTTACGATCATAGCTCACTGTAACTTCTAACTTCTGGGCTCAAGGAGGTTCTTTATAATAGAATGTAATATATTACTTATAAAATTGAACATGTATCAATTAACTGAAAAGTGCAACAGAAACCAGAACCTTAAGTATCCTGTCTCTTTTCTCTAAAATTATCAAAGATAATAGTTTAGAATAATAAGAGACATGCCATTCTAAAGTAATTTTCAAAATGAACTAAAAGATCTAGAAAAGAATGAAAAATTGGTTTCCTCAGTGAGGATAAAGGAGGCTATGAACTTTTCTGTGTGTAACCAACCTAATAATATAAAAGCAAACTTTTCATTCCTAATTAAGAAATTCAGATGCTTTCCGAAGCTATTACCTTCTTCTTCTTCTTCTTCTTCTTTTTGTTTAAAATACAGGGTCTCTCTCTGTCACCAGGCTGGAGTACAGTGGTGCAATCATGGCTCACTGCAGCCTTAAACTTGTGGACTCAAGCGATTTTCCTGCCTCACTCTCCTAAGGAGCTAGGAATGCAGGAGTGTACCACCATGCCCAGCTAAATAAAAAAAATGCTAAGTTGCCCAGGGTGGTCTAGAATTCCTGGCTTCAAGCAATTCTCTGGCCTCAGCCTCCCAAAGAGTTAGGATTACAGGCATGAGCCACCACACCCAGCCTATTACTTTCTTATCTGTATTATTGTCAACCCTACATTTATTCTTCCTCTTTTAAATTAGCTATGGAAAGGCATATGTATTTCCTTTTCACAAAATATTAAATCATCTATTCCTATGTTCTTTTGATGTTGAGAGAGTATTTCTTTTTTAAACCCACATTTACCCTTACTCTTTTTAACTTCTCCACCATTCCTTCACATTCCTTCGTTTTATCATTTGCAGGATAGCAATGATATCTATTACCTCACTGGATTTTTATGAGACTTAAAAGACCAAGTGCTTTGAATAGTAAAACATGAAATGCAAAGGGCTAGGATCTTTATTTTTATGTAATGGAGGGATGAAGATGGAGCACAGGAGATTTTTTGGAAAGTGAAACTATTTTGCATAATATAGTAATGGTGGATACATGTTATATATTTGTCAAAACCTACAGTGCTTGCCTATAGTCCCAGATACTTGGATCGTTTGAGTCCAGAAATTTGACTTCAGCCTGGGCAACATTAATGAGACCTGTCTCTTAAAACAAACCAAAAACCCAAAACAATAAAACATACAACAAAACGTGTGAACTCTAATGTAAATTATAGACATTAGTAATAACTGTCAGTATCGGTTCATCAATTGTAGTAAATGTACCACATTAAAACAAGATGTAGGCCCGGCACAGTGGCTCACGCCTGTAAGGCCAGCACTTTGGGAGGACAAGGCGGGCAGATCGCTTGAGGTCAGGAGCTCAAGACCAGTCTGGCCAATATGGCGAAACCCCAACTCTACTAAAAATACAAAAATTAACCAAGGGTGGTGGCATGCACCTGTAATCCCAGCTGCTTAGGAGGCTAAGGCACCAGAATTGCTTGAACCCGGGTGGTGGAGGTTACAGTGAGCCTAGGTCAAGCACTGCACTCCAGCCTGGGCCACAGAGCTGGACTCTGTCTCAAAATAAATAAATAAATAAATGAATAAAAAATAAAAATAAAATAAAAAACAAGATGTAAATAACAAGAGAAACTGTGAGGGGTGGAAGAGGGTATGTGGAAACTCTTCTTTCTGATGAATTTTTCTATGAACCTCAAATTCTTTTAAAAAAAAGTCGATTAAAAAAAAAACCCACTCGAGGAATGGATGTTTAGAAAAGCATGTATCTTTCAAAACAAGGATAAAGACTTCATAATTAATATTTACCATTCTCCAGCTTGGGTGACTGAATTTAATTCTGTTACATTGTACATAATAGATGGCTCCAATGAAACTTTCTCCATAAACATAGGTGAGGTTGTCATATTCTGAATCTGGGCTTCCAGAAATACTTCATCAGTCTGAGGATATGAAAAAAATATCCACCAAAGTGTGATGGCATTTAAAATATTTATCTCAACAAAAATATCTATCTATATGAAGAAAAAATATTAACCACAAATGTGATTAGTTCATGCCTGCAAATCAAAGTTACCACAATTAATGCAAGAAAAGAAATCTTCACCCTATCATAATTAACAGGGGCAAAGTCAAGTGTTAGTCAACTGATACCTTGTCAAACAATGGATGGAGGATAACGATGTTTTGTCTTAACATCCAAAAATACTTAACTAGAATTTCATTTACAAATACCCTAATTATTTTCATTAGGCATTAAAATATTACAATGTGCTTTAGTATGATGAATATACCTATGCTCCTATAATTTCAGTATTACGTTAAGATGATTAAGTCTTCATTATAATACAGCAATATAACTTTGTCATATTGATATCAATTTAGATAGTGTAATGACCTCTAGTACTATGAATAATCTATTTTGTAATCTTGAAGGATTTAATTTTTTAAATTAAAGCAATTTGCGAGTGGTCATTAGTGATTGCTTAGTTCATTTTAAGTGTATATTGAGGGCTAAAAAAAGGATATGTGAATTATACTTCGTAGAGCTTTTAAATCAGGCAAGAGGTATTTTGTAGCCTCAGTGACAGATTTTAAAGCTGATGCTATTCAGCAACATTTGCCAGTAGGTAATTTAAATACTTAACTTTAGATAAATTAATTCCCCTAATTATGCTGAACATTATTTTATGCTATTTGGTTATTTTCCTTCATGTAATTGAAGGATAACAGACTAACTTGATTTATCTTTGAAACAAACCTACATAAAAAATGATACACTAAGGATATTCAAGAATTTTTTTCAAAATTTTCATAGTAATATGTGTACTACACATAAGTAACATAAAATCAACTATGACCAGAAAAATTTGCCACTTTAAGAGCTTTTTATTTTTTTGACATAGAGTCTCATTCTGTCACCCAGGCTGGAGCGTGGTGGCATGATCTTGGTACACTGCAACCTCCGCCTCCCGGGTTCAAGGGATTCTCCTGCCTCAGCCTCCCGAATAGCTGGGATTATAGGTGCGCAATATCATACTGAGCTAATTTTTGTCTTTTTAGTAGAGACAGGGTTTCACCATGCTGGCCAGGCTGGTCTAGAACTCCTGACCTCAAGTGATCCACCCACCTCGGCCTCCCAAAGTGCTGGGATTACAGGCGTGAGCCACCATGCCTGGCCTCTGAGCTTTTATTTTATTTTCGAGACAGAGTCTTGCTCTGTTGCCCAGAGTGGAGTGCAGTGGCAAGATCTCAGCTCACTGCAACCTCTGCCTCCCAGGTTCAAGCGATTCTCCTGCTTCAGCCTCCCCAGTAGCTGGGACTACAGGCAGTGCCACCATGCCCTCTAATTTTGTATTTTTATTTATTTATTTTGAGACAAAGTCTCACTCTGTCACCTAGGCTGGAGTGCAGTGGTGTGATCTCAGGAGTTGAAGTGATTCTTCTGCCTCAGCCTCTCAAGTAACTAGGATTACAGGCAAGTGCCACCACGCCTGGCTAATTTTTGTATTTTTTATAGAGATGGCGTTTCACCATGTTGGCCAGGCTGGTCGTGGACTCCTGACCTCGTGATCCGCCCGCCTCGGCCTCCCAAAGTGCTGAGATTACAGGCATGAACCACCGTGCCTGGCTGAGCTTTTTAAACACTAACACCAAGAAAATGAAAATCATTTGCAAAGATATAATGATTAAGTTATAATACAATGTACTATTATCTAAAATAAAACAGATGCTTTAGTCTTTGGGACATGTGTTGAAATGAAAATAGAAATAAAATGTTTATCAGTTTAAAAAATGTATCATTTAGTGGCATTTTTTGGTTACTTGTTCTAAAAAAGTACATATATCCCATCAATCCATTGCTTTTAAAAAAAATAACCACAGACCCATATTTCAATTTAAAAACTGCAATTTTCTGCGTAAATTTAGGAAGAGCTTAGATAAAATGAAAGAAAAACAAGCAGCATAATGGAAAATCAAGTTAGTTTGAATAGTGTTAAGCAATTTGATATTTTAAAAATTAAGAATTCAGTGCTAAGGCAGTTGATGTTATTACATATGTAATGTGATATAAGCAAATGCTGCTTATTGTATATATAAGTTTGAAAATAAAATTTTAGCCAAGTTGGGAAAATTTGCTTTCTTCTGTTTCATTTTGTCAAGCGGCCATCATTACCTGACCCACACTTAAAACTAAAACCACTGTGCATCTGAAAATGAATTTCGATTATACAGTCTACTCAAAGAACTGAAGGCTAGGATAATTGGGTATTTTATAGTAAGATGATGAAAATCACAAGGCCATTTTACACAAGGTAACATACTTCTTTAAAAAAAAATCTAAAGAAGAAACACTGAAAATGAAAATTGTTTCAATATGACAATTTAACTTTTGAGCTAATTTTCCCCCAGAGTAAGAAATTGATATAATAAAAAATACATAAAATTATATATAATCTTTCTGAAGTCACATAGGTGGTATTCACAACTAACTGTTTTTCCACTATGTTTTGTAAAGAGAGATTAATTAGGCAGAGTCAAAAAGTGGTGAGTAAGAAAAGTATAAAAATTTATAATAAAAAATCAAATTACCACAGAACTGAGGTCACTCTAATGGAAAAATAAAAAAGAATAATTAGAAAAATCAGAGTTAAATGTTAAAGAAAAAAGAATTACTTTAAAATAAAATGCATTTCTGCATTTTTTAAATTTACTAAACAAGACAGCATTAGTGAATAAGAAAGTAAACAGGAAGCAACATAAATATGACAAACCATTTTTCTAAAAAGGTGAAACTGCTAAGGTTAAATGACAATGGAATAGAGAAGAACACTATGGCTGAATACTCAAACAGTAGCAAACTGTTAAGAGCACATTTTGGAGCAAAGAGGTATATCCCATGACTTTCTAGTTCTATAATTCTTTACCAACATTTTAATTCTTCATAGATAATTTAGGATGAATATATACTATCCTCCACATTCAGAATAGATATACACCGTATACTTTCTCTTAAATTTATGTAATAATGGAACCCTTTTTTAAAGGAATATCTTGGGCAATTAGAGTTCCATTGATCACTTCAGGGAATGTGGGCTGAACCACTTCAAAAAATTAAGAATTTATTTTCTTCTTCTTAGCAGATTTCATAGTTAGCCTTTTTTCCCTTACATTATTTCTTCAACTGTTTATTAAGAGCAATCTCAAATGTCGCCTCCATCAAATGCATAGCTGGAAATCATTTTTCACCTCTCTAGGTACCCAGAATACATTACTTCACGATTTGGCTTATATGTGTGGGAGGGGCTTACATTATAGTTACGTCATATCAGTCTCCTCTACTGGAGGCAGGTCCCTTGAGGACTGGGAAGATGTTGTTTATAGTTCTCTTCAATACCTGGCAGGTGACCAAATGTTTGAATCCTGGCTTCTAGTCTCACCAATCTTCCTGCAAGGCTTTTCTATCTTAGAAAACTATGACAGTTTTTCATGAACTTGTTTTCCTTTAGGTGATTCACATATTACAGCATTATTAGAAACAGAATCAAAAATATATGTTTGAGACAGATGTGGGGCCAATAATATTAACTGTAAAAGGACTACAGCACAGAGCAATATGCATCACCTACTGATATTGCTGTGGTTTATTAACCCCTATAATCTACCTGAAATTCCTGGTTGGGGTCAACATAATCTGCCTCATGCTAGTGGCTGAACAGTGTTTGTCTAATAGGTAATATTAAGTATCTTAGAGAGACCCAAAATGTTTTTTGTTCACTCCTGATTTTTAAAGTGAGATCTATTTTCAAAAGTTCAGAATATTACTGAAATTATTTTGATTGAAGTTTGTTAGCAAGATTTAAAGATTATGTCAACATATAATGTTAACCGACAAAGGAAGTAAACAAAATTGTTGTGATTATAAAAATAGAATATTATATATAAGTGAATAAAGACTGCAAAAGAGTATGTATTAATGAAAAATCAACTGGTGTGGCAGAATTGTGAATTTTTATTTCTTTATGGACAGCGTGTCACTTCTATAATGTTTATAGAAAAACTAGCAATTTTAAAAATTATTCACAAATCACTCTAAATATTAGCATTATAAAACTATTTGACAGGTATCTTAGTGTACTATCAAATTTTTAATGAAGAAAACCTAAAATAGCTGAATATGTGACTCCTAGGAGACAGTTACAGAAAAAAAACCCACCTATTGCCCTATTTTAAATTAATTTTCTAATAGAATAGTTAACATTTTCCCCTCGTACTATAAATGAAATCTTTTCCAGCAAAATGGTAAATTAGACTATTTAAATCTCACCATGCTGACTAGCTATACTGTAATTAATCAACAGTATGCCATTAATAACAAAAAAGAGGGAATAAATACGTATTACTCCAACTCACCTATCCCCCACAAAAGAAACATCAACTTTGTAAACATCTAGTAATCTTTTTGATGATGCTTTTCCCTCTCGTCAAATATGTATACTCTTTCCTATGTACTTGATATTCCATGTCTATTTGTAACCCTGCTTGAATGCCTTTACTGCTTTGACACTTGTCTGTTTCCAACATGCATTCCTTTCAGACTCCAATCCAGCCTTTCTTCTCTTTCATAAAGCTTCTTTAAACTATTCCAAGATCACATTCCCGAGAACTCTTGTAACACATTTTTTCATATCATTCTCACTATATTCCATTCTAGGTAGTTTTGTTATTATATGCATTTTTTCTTTTCTCCTAATAGGTCTTTGCTGCAGGTTAGGTTCCTTACTTTGACATCTTAGAAATCCTAGAGTATAAATTTTACTGAGTAAAAATTCAGATTGTGGATGGTAAAAATAAATGTCAAATTTGCCATGTGATTGAAAATGTCTGATCATTATCTGGTTTTAGAGTAGCAGAGATATAATCTTCTTTTCAAAATACTGTATTTGGATATATTTGAGTTTATCACTGGTATGAAACACATGATTTTGGGGGATAAGAGGGCTATCAAGAGATCTGATTTTTCTGCAGCTCTAGAAGCCAAGATAAAACAAAATCTTAAAAAAGAAATCCAAGCAATAAATCCTTTCTCCTATGGCAAGTTCTATTTTATATCTTTTTTTTAGGGTAAAAGATAAAGTATCTTCTATTATAAAAGTTACTTCTATTTTTGCCAAACTTGTTTTTCCCAAGGAGCTTTTAAAGCCATTACACCAAACCCAGCAACCTAATTCTGGCTGGCAAACTGACTACCCTGGAAATAATTTAATGTGCTAAGCTTCACTTGTCAATATTTTTCCATGTGAATATTAAATCTTATTTTGCAGGGTTAGATCTACTAATTCAATTTTTGTAATATCCAGAACCACATGTAAATATTCAACAGATTGCTAGTGTAACAACCACCATTAAATGGAATGAGGGGGCAATCATTTAACAAAAGGAGATGAAAGCCTTATAAAATTAACAGTGAGAATAAAAATCAAGACACATTGATTCCATGTAAGTTGAAAAAGATTATGAGACCTACAATAAAATTATTCAATTTTAACTGAAATTTATGATTTTTTCAAATAATTTACAGTCACGTTGGCAATTTGCTTCAGTATTAGAAATGTATATAAGAGATTTTTAGTCAAATAAGATCTTAATGTTTAATATGAAATCCCATTAAGCACTCAACACTCACCTCTGCATTGTAAAATTTGGTTTTCACATCCAATGGTTTGAGAACCTGGTTAAATAAAGCATATCAATCAGGAAATTGTTATCATGTGACCATTTATTTTTATTTTTTTAAAATCACATAGCGTAAATTTGTCATTTTCCAATTTCAATTGTTAAAAGACTTATCTAATAGGTATGTAATATTCTTCCAAAAGAAAAAAAGGAAAAAAAAAAAGAATCCTAAATGCATGTTTTGAAAGGCTACCGTTATTTCTTTACTGGGTGATAGTTACATTACACGGGTTTTTGCTCCATAATATTTTGTTAAACAAAACACATATATTTTATGTATTTTTCTATAGGTATATTCATAAAAACTGTTTGCAAAAAAAGCAACTGAGCTGGGCGCAGTGCCTACTCTTGTAATCCCAGCACTTTCAGAGGCCAAGGCAGGCGGATCACCTGAAGTCAGGAGTTCGAAACAAGCCTGGCCAACATGGCAAAACCCCGTCTCTACTAAAAATCCAAAAGTTAACTGGGCATGCTGGCAGGTGCCTGTAATCCCAGCTACTCAGGAGGCTGTGGCAGGAGAACCACTTTGCACCAGGGAGGCGGAGGTTGCAGTGAGCTGAGATCGCATCATTTGCACTCCAGCCTGGGCAACGAGAGCAAAATTCCATCTCAAAAAAAAAAAAAAAATTGAATCACTTTCTATTTTCTTTCAAAAAGCATGCAAATGAATGATTCTGCAAAAGAATGGCAGATTTTTTTCCCTTGTGAACAGTATTTTTTCTTCCACTTACAGAGGAACGAAAAAAAAAATCATATACAGCATCATATTAAGATCTATATTTATAATAGACATATGTGGTATTCACATTTCCTCACCCTCCTACATCAATGTGTTAAGCCAGTGGTTTTTAACTATTTTTGATGGACGCTGAAAACTGTGTATTAATACAAAACTCAAAGTTCCCGTGATTCCTGGAGTCCTTGAAGGAAGCTCAGTCTACTCACTCCAAGTCAATTGTCTCTCCTTTAAATTTCTTTAGAAATTTGATATTATTTACCCTCATTTTATCTGGACTTTACACTAATTTTATCCCTTGTCTACATTGTGTGTTTTGTCAGGCCATAAAAACAAGTTATTTACTTTTTAGAGACAGAGTCTTGCTCTGTTGACCAAGCTGGAGTGCAATGGCATGATCACAACTCACTGAAGACTTGAAACCTGGGTCAAGCGATCATTCCACCTCAGCCTCCCAAGTAGCTAGGATTACAGGCTTGTGTTACCTGTAGTCCTAGGTCATGCTGTCTGGGCTATCTTGAACTGGCCTCAAGTGATCTTCCCCACTTTGCTTCCCAAAGCACTGGGATTATAGGTGTGAGCCACTGTGCCAGACTCAGCTATTTTTTTCTTTTATTTTGAATAAACATCTTCAAGTTTCATTACAAAAACATATTGGCAATGATAATTCCTCTGCTTTTATTTACATTAATTTAGTCTCAGTTTAGACTGCTAGTCATATGACAAATTCAAAAATATTGAGCTATTTGCTTTATTTGGATCTTGTTTTCCCTGCAGATAATCAGGAATAACTGTACACTACCAGGAAGAAAAAGGCATATAAAAACTATTTACCATTGTCATATTCAATACCTGAAATTTGAAGAATTTTCTAAAATACATTTTTTCTCCAGCCTGAGTTGTGTAACTCACAGCACACACCAAGCTGAAACAGAAAGATGTCTTAATGATTCTGAATCATTTTTAATTTTAATAGTAAATCAAACACACCTGAATTCTACTAAGAAATTAGGGAAACACATCTGTGGTGTGGATGTGTGAGATTAGAGCAGGGGAAAATGTCAGAATAGATACAGACAAAATTACACGAACAAGAAAGCTCTGATTAGTAAAATGAGATATAACATTTTTGGAGCACAAAATCAGAAACTTCTTGACTTTACCTGAAAGGTGAAATATATTCCAAAATAATTCTCAGAACAATCAAATATTTGAGTATATAAAACAAGTTCATATAAACTAGAAAAAAAATATGGATTAAAAAATTTCCAGCTGGGCATGGTGGTTCATGCCTGTAATCCTAGCAGTTTGGGAGGCCAAGGCGGGCGAGTCACTTGAGGTCAGGAGTTCGAGACCAGCCTGGCAAACATGGTGAAACCCCGTCTCTTACTAAAGTTACAAAATATGTCCGGGCATGGTGCGCGGGCGCCTGTCAATCCCAGCTCTTACCTCGGGCAGACGTTACGCAGGAGAATCCTTGAACGCCGGGACGGTGGAGTTGTGGCGAGCTCAGGATTGCCACACTGGCACTCTCAGCCTGGGCAAACAAGAGCAAAACTCCACTCAAAAAAAAAAAAAAAAAAGGCGGTGTGCAGGTGGCTCAGCGACTGTAGATTCCAGGCACTTTGGAGGCTGAGGCAGGTGGATCCACGGAGGTTGAGACCAGACCATCCTCGGCTAAACGCGTGAAACCTGCGTCTCTTACTAAAAAATACAAAACATTAGCCGGGCATGGTGGGGGCGCCTGTAGTCCCACTATCGGGAGGGCTGGAGGCAATGGACAATGGGCGTGAACCCGGCGAGGCAGAGCTTTGCAGTGAGCTGAGATTCACATCACTACACTCCAGCCTGGTGACAGAGAGAGATTCCATCTCAAAAAAAAAAAAAAAAAAATTCCCGAAGATTTCTCTTGAACATAAATTGCCAATGGGAAAATTACTGTATAGTTAGATAAAAAATTTTTTTTTTTTTTGAGAACGGAGTCTCGCTCTGTCGGCCCAGGCTGGCAGTGCAGTGGTCATCAATTCAGCTCACGTGGCAAGCTCGCTCCTGGGTTTTACGCCATTCTTCCTGCCTCAGCCTCTCGCGAGTAGGCTGGGCACTTACATGACGCCACCTCGCGCCCGGCTGTAGTTTTTTTTGTGATTTTTAGTAGAGACGGGTTTCACGGGTCTAAGCCGAGGATCGGTCTCGATCTCCTGACCTCGTGATCCGCCCGTCTCGGCCTCCCAAAGTGCTGGGATTACAGGCTTGAGCCACCGCCCCGGCCGTAAAAAATTTTAAGTTGAATCAAAAACACTAAAACAATTACAAAGCAGAAACAAACTAGCATAAAATACTTGTAACAATACAAGAAAGTGGTTACATTTTAATACTTAATATGACAAAGGGTTCCCATAAGTTAATAAGCAAAACACCAATATATCACTCAAAACTTGAGAAAAGGAAAGCACAGTTAAATCACAGTACCATAACTGGCTAACAAAAATGTGAAAATGTTCAGCCTCACAAGTATTCAGAGAAACACATTAAAATAATGAGGTAATATTTTTCTGTTTATCAAGATTTGGCAAAAATTCTTTATAAGTGATCTCAGAATTGGTGAGGGTTTAGAGAAACTCTTTCTACACTGCTAGTGGTTAGAAGAAATTTGGAAAACAATCTTTTAGCAAAAGAATCTTAAAAATGCTTACATGTTCTCATAGTAAAACCACTTCAAATATTCCACGAGGACACATTAAGGTGTTCATCTCTGTGTTACTTTTAACAGTGAAAAACTGAAAATAAATATCCAACATTACAGTAAACAGAAAACACTGTACAAGATGGAGTCATGTAAAAAAAATTTTTTTTTTTTTTTTTTTTTTGAGGCAGGGTCCCACCATCACCCAGGCTGGAGAGCAGTGGCGTGATCATGGATCACTGCAGCCTTGATCTCCTGGGCTCAAGCGATCCTCCCACCTCAGTCTCCCAACTACCTGAGACTACAGGCATGCTCCACCACGTCCGGCTAATTTTTGTATTTTTTGTAAAGATGGGATTTCACCATGTTTTCCAGGCTGGTCTTGAGCTTCTGAGCTCAAGCGATCTGCCCACCTTAGCTTCCCAAATTATTGGAGATTACAGGCGTGAGCCACCACATCCGGCCCAAAAACTGTGTTTTCAAAAAATACTGTCTGATATGTGTGAAAATGTTAATAGTGTATTTTAAAAAATAAAACTATGAATATGGCCAAAATTTTATAAAATATTAAATTATTTATACATAGTTATTTTACATATGTATGCAAAAAGACTAGAAAGAAATATAATAATATTTTAATAGTGGTTGGTTATATGGGGTGGTAACATTAGCAGGTAATTTAATTTCTTCTTTATACGTGTGCTGCCTGGTACTGACTAAGTAAGGCAGGGGCTAGGAAGAGGACTGATCGAAGCACAATACCTGCCTTCAAAGTGCTCACAGTAAGAATAGCATAGCAAGGTAGAGGATCTAAAACTAGGTTTGGATTTGAGTTTTATGTCTTCTAAACTAGCTGCTTAATTGTACAAGTCTCATTTTCTGTAAAATGGAGATTTTACACATTTATTATCATTTCAATAAATACTGACTTCTGTTCTCTGCTAGATCCTTGGACTATAGCAGATATCATGGATCTCATACTTTAATGGGAAAGGCAGGCACTCAATAAGTAATTATAAGTATGAAACATTTTTTAAAATGATAAATGGTGGATGCTATAGAAGATACAAAAAGTGGTATTTAATCCAGTCTAGGAGGTTAGGAAAACTTCTTGAGGAAGTAGTGCTGAATCTGAGATATGAAAGAGAAGTAGAAATAAACTACATAAAATGCCATAGTATTCCTTTGTAAGGGAAGAATGCATTTCAATCTGGAGTCTGGAGATAAAAGAAGTCCAATATGACTGCAGGGTGGAGAGGGAGGGATGGGTGGTGATGGTAAGAACTACTGTGGTTGGTAAGAATTAGGTTGCAGAGAGCTTTGTAAAACATTTGCAAAGTCAGAATTTCCTAAGGACAATGGGAGATCATAGAAGAATTAAGTGACTTATACAAGATCACATAACAAATGATGAAGTTGAAATTTGAATTCTAGGAAGTCTGACTCCAAAGCCCAAAGAATATACATGAAAAAGTCCCTACAACAGAGCTTGTCACCAAAATTAACTGATTAAATAATAGCTAATATTATATACTTTCATGGGCACAAAGAGAAGAGCAAAAGTGGTAAAGCAGAGATGAAGAAGAGACAAATGAGAGATATTCAGGAGAATTAATAGGATTTTGTGAACTGATTGGATGTAGGGTTTCTAAAGGAGATGAAGAAGTCTAAAATTACTTCAGATGGCTAAAATTTTCATATTGCCCCTCAGACTGAAAGAAAAATAGAGCATTTACATTCAAATACATACACACGACAGGAATACAGAATTTGATTTTTTTTCCACAGTGTGCCTTATTTTGGTCCTATATTTCTGAGTTGTCAGGGTGGAGTGTATATACCTGGTTAAATACAAAACTGAAAAACTGAATTTAAAAATAAACACTATAACATCAGTTACTAGCATTTCAAAACACAATAAATATACTTTTAGAGTGCTATCTGGGTTTTAAACATTTTGCACAGCTTTTCATTTTTTAGAGATTGTAAATGTAAAAAAAATAAAACGAGATAAATGATGATAAATTGGATTTTTTCCCTACAAAACATACATTTGGTTTAAACTTTATTTCTGGTAAACATGTAAACATAGAACATAAAATTCCTTTTGAAGTAGGTTCCTATGCTTCATGGTGAATGAAAAGAAAGCAAAAATTTCAAATAAAGGCATATATAAGTAAAAACCTTTGAGACCTAATAAAACTAATCCTTACATGTGTGTTCCAATTTCCTTGACTTCATGATGTATGACATCATCAATACAACAATCCGGTTTAAGTTCAGCCACTGCAGCATTGGAGGCTGAAAGATTTAAACGCTGAGAACTTGTCTGAAGATCAGCCTTGAAAGAAAGTTAAAAAAAAAAAAAGAATCCAAATGAGACTGGTTACCTACAGGGTGTGCATGGCTATGAGTGGAAAGAATAGGGGAATAAGAAAAAGGAAAGAAAGATGAAAAGGGGAGCAACACTTTTCTGTGTAAACCTTTCTGTATAGCTCTGATGCTTAGAACCATGGCAATAGCACAATCCCGCACCAATAAATAAATAAATAAATAAATAAATAAAATCAGGCAGGAATTAGGGAGAATCCAAAATGGAATACAAACAGTAACAAATGAACCTAACTGTATTACAAATGAAGACCACAATTGCGCTATGGCAGAGGGAAGGGGAAAAGTGGAACTAACCTAAGTAAGTTTGGAAAACAAAATCTTAACTGTAATCTATGGCTAAAGACAAAAAGAATGGTACATAAATGTACTCTAGCTACGACACATGTGTTTTTTCACTATTTTATATGTATACTAGGACAAAACAAAATACTACATTGTGGATTACAAGAGACAGGTTTCTCACCTTCAGAGAAAAAAAAACGGTACAAATAAGGAAAGCGGGGGAAGCTACAGTGAGTCTTTGGTGGTGGACTGCAATCTGAGGCACCAGTATGAACACATGGCTTTTAAATATATATTCAGATGGACTTCACTAAAACAAATACATATGCATGTATGTGCTAGTATATAACACTAAAAGATAAGTAATTGTCCAAAACAAAATTATATGTCAGAGACCAATTAGTTTATAAGATAACTAGAAAATGACATAAAAAGTCACCAACTAAGAAAGCACTACCTCGTCTAAAGTAGCACTTTCCGTCCACCCGATGATGCTCCATTATATTTCTTTTTTCTCCTTTTGAACATTTATCACTCTGTCTTAAAACTACCCTCCCTCCCTTATCTCAATTACTTTCTATCACATTCAACTTTTGCTTCCTTTGTAACATTTATCACAATCTATAATTACCTTATTTATGACTTTGTTTACCTGTTTCTTTCTGTCTCCCCTACCAGAAAAGTCTATGGAGGCAGGAACCTCGTCTTCTCTTGCTCACCACTATAGCACAGTGCCTGGCACATAGTAGGCAATTAATCAATATTTGTTGAATAATGAATGGATGAATTTATGATAAAACTTCCAAGGCAAAAAAAATTGAGGGAAAGCAAAGATCACATTAGGTCATGGGAATTAGTGGAGGTTTTTACATGAGAGCTAGGATTCTTTTAAGTTTTTGTTTCTTTTAAAAAACAGTTTTGCAGTTAATTCTAACCCAACAATCTTATGTTAGTCACTTTGAAATGTGCTATTTATTAGTGCTGTGTATTTTGTTATACTCAGTTATAAAACAATAGTAGCTCACATTTATTTGGTACCTATTATGTGCAAGGCCCTGTTCTAAGCATATTACTCATTTAATCCCCATATCCTGAAGGAGGTATTAGTATTATCCCCATTTCATAGACAATGAAACCAAGGCACAGAAAAGTAACAACTTTCCCAAGGTTTTACAAATCATAAGTAACAAAGCTAAGATTCAAAATTCTTTTTTTTTTTTTTAAAAAAAGAGTTTCACTCTTCTTGCCCAGGCTGGAGTGCAATGGCATGATCTCAGCTGACTGCAACCTCAGCCTCCCAGGTTCAAGCGATTCTCCTGCCTCAGCCTCCCAAGTAGCTGGGATTACAGGCACCCATCATCATGTCTAGCTAATTTTTTGTATTTTTAATAGAGACGGAATTTCACCATGTTGGCCAGGCTGGTCTTGAACTCCTGGCCTTAGGTGATCTGCCTGCCTCAGCCTCCCAGAGTGCTGAGATTACAGGCATAAGCCACCGCTCCCAGACCTAAAAATTCTTAAACACTTTTTTTTTTTTGAGATGGAGTCTCGCTCTGTCACCCAGGTTGGAGTGCAGTGGCACTATCTTGGTTCACTGCAACCTCTACCTCCCAGGTTCAAGTGATTCTCCTGCCTCAGCCTCCCCAGTAGCTGGGATTACAGGCAAGTGTCACTAAGGCTGGCTAAATTTTGTATTTTTAGCAGAGACGGGGTTTCACCATCTTGGCTAGGCTGGTCTCAAACTTCTGGTCTCAAGTGATCTGCTGCCTCGGGCTCCCAAAGTGCTGGGAATACAGGCGTGAGCCACTGCACCCAGATACAAATTCTTAAACATTTTTGAAATTAGAAAAAAAAAGAAATAATTGAATCCATTGGCTTTCTGTTAAATATGTTTTCCTATGTGTCTTATGTGTCATTTTAATCATAACTGTGGCTTTTGATAAGTAGGATTTGAAAAGGCAGAGGAAAGAGGTTAGGGGGAACTCTAAGTAAGTTGAACAGAGCTAGCAAAATACCACCAGTGTGAAAGCTCCAGATGTCTTCAGAGGACACCAAGAGTTTGGTATAATTGGCCAGACATGGTGGCATGTTCCTGTAATCCCAGCTACTTGCGAGGCTGAGGCAGGAGAATCACTTGAACACAGGAGGTGGAGGTTGCAGACCCACATTGAAAGGGTCTACTTGGAATCAGGGAAATCACACCCAAAGACCAATTTTGAAACATACAGAAAAAAAATCACCAGGACCTCCAGGAAAAATCATGAAATAACTTACAAGGCAAGAGAATTAGACTGGCTTCAATCCTCTCAAAAACAACATACACAGCTGAGCAATAAAGGAGTAGCATTTTCAAAAAACATAAGGAAATAAAAATGTAAAGAAAAGATTTTAAATCTAGCCAAACTGAACTTCAAGTATTGAAAAACACCTTTGAACAAGGGCTCAGAGAATATTGTACCCACAAAATCTTCCTGAGCAATCTACTTCAATATTTTTAATATTAAAAGCCACAATTCACAATGACTAACAATAATTATAAATACGCACGAAACAGCATAGTCTTTTTTGTTTTGTTTTGTTTTGTTTTTTGAGATGGAATCTTGCTTTGTCACCCAGGCTGGAGTGCAGTAGGGTGATGTCAGCTCACTGCAAGCTCTGCCTCCCAGGTTCACATCTTTCTCCTGCCTCAGCCTCCCGAGTAGCTGGGACTACAGGTGCCTGCTACCATGCCCAGCTAATTTTTGTACTTTTAGTAGAGGTGGGGTTTCACCGTGTTAGCCAGGATGGTCTAGATCTCCTGACCTTGTGATCCGCCCACCTCGGCCTCCAAAAGTGCTGGGATTACAGGCGTGAGCCACCGCGCCCGGCCGAAACAGCATAGCCTTTATAAAGCAAAATATATGAGATTTTAGAAGATGTAAATAGAAATACACTGGTAATAAGAGACAAACATGCACTCTTAGTATAAGACAGATGAAGTTGACAATAAATAAAGATATAGAATCTAGCCCTAAATAACACAAATGATAAAACAGCTCTTATGAATATCTAAAGCATACACATTCTTCTCAAGTACACATAGAAAATTCATAAAAAATCAATATGGGGTCATAAGACATCATCAGTTAAGTTCCATAAGCTGAAATATTACAAGAACAACACTGATTGGAATGTAATAAAACTATAAATTACGAACAACAATTAAAATAGAAAAAAAAAAATAAACCTTTCCCCCTAAAAACCTTTTGCATTAAACAACCCTTGGGTAGAAGGTGAAATACAAATGAAATTACAGAATTCTTTAAAAAGTAATGACAAAAATATAAAAAAGGTTTTTAATTTGGGCAATTCTGCAAAGTGTTTTCACACTTATTATCTTGTCTTTATGTAAGAATGGTGTTTGGGATGTTCAACACTGTTACTACCTCTTTATCATTGTACAGTAGGCATCAGCTCTTCCTTCCACCATCAATTTTTAATTTTTAATTTATTTTTTAATTTGGTCTCACTACATTGGGCAACAGAGTGAGATGCTGTCTCTAAAAAATAAAAAATAATTAGCCAGGTGTGGTGGTATGCAACTGCAGTTACAGCAACTCAGGAGGCTAAGACGGGAGGATTGCTTGAGCCTTGGAGGTGGAGGCTACAGTGAACTATGATTGCACCAGCCTGGGCAACAGAGTGAAACCTCACCTCTTAAAAGTATTGAGAATAAAAATGCTATGCATTTGAATCTTCAGGATATAAAAAGCAGTGAATCACAGGAAAATTAACTTTTATCAATATAAATCAAAGAATCAAAATAAAATAATAAAATTCCTAGCTCAAAAATGGTAGAAAAATAAAGTAAATAAACAGAAGCATAATAAAAGAAATAAAAGCACAAATTAATAGAGAATGGAAACATATTGGATACAATAATTTTTTAAGTCTTGGATTTTTTTTTTTTGAAGTTAAAATACACAAACTAAGAGCTAGCTAACTTAATCAAGAAAAAATCAAACCTAAGAAATGACCAGGGGAAAATATTGCAACAGAAGAAATTTTTTTTTTGTTTTTTTTTTAGATGGAGTCTCACTCTGTTGCCCAGGCTGGAGTACAGTGGTGTGATCTCGGCTCACCGCAATCTCCACCTCCTGAGTTCAAGCGATTCTCCTGCCTCCCAGGCGCCTGTGACCATGCCCTGCTAATTTTTGTATTTTTAGTAGAGATGAGGTTTCACCATTTTGGCCAGGCTGGTCTCAAACTCCTGACCTCAGATGATCTACCTGCCTTGGCCTCCCAAAGTGCTGGGATTACAGGCATGAGCCACTACACCCAGCCAACAGAAGACAATTTTAAGAGCCTACTTTACAGACCTCTATGCAGATAAATGTGAAAATCTATATGAAATGAAATGGATTATTTCCTAGAAAAAAACAGCTTAACAAAACTGACACCCTTAGAGGTGAACTGCTTAAACATACTAGTATCCACAGGGAAAAAAAAAAGAAAAAATGTTATCAGGGAATTTCCCCATTTTAAAAAAGAAAAGAACTAGCTCATATGATTTTGCAGGGAATTCTATAAATCCTTCAAAGAATAGGTAATCTAAATGATCCACAGTTCTCTGTATTTGTTTTGTTTTGTTTTGTTTTCTCAGACAGGGTATTGCCCTGTCATCCAGGCTAGAATGCAGTGGCATAATCATAGCTTACTGCAGCCTCAAATTCATGAGTTCAATTCATGATCCTCCTGCCTCAGCCTCCCAAGTAGCTAGGAATACAAGTATGTGCCACGATGGCCAGAGAATTTTTAAATTTTTTTTTGTAGAGACTTTGATCATTATATTCCCCAGGTGAGTCCTGGGGAGCCTCCTGGATTCAAGGGCTCCTCCTGCCTTGGTCTCCCAAAGTGCTAGATTACAGCCATGAGCCACTAAGTTTAGCCTGATGCACATATTGTTCCAAAGCACCGAAAATATTGGAAAAATGTTCGAAATCTTTTATTAAGCAACCATAATACTGACACCTAAAACCTGATCAAAAGACAACACTCACACAAATACAGGTCAATATCATTCTGTGCTTCATGACTTATATCCTCTTAAGTGATTCTGATGTCACAATTAGCTTATCTGGCCAGGTGCGGTAACTCACATGTGTAATCCCAGCACTTTGGGAGGCTGAGGCGGGAGGATTGCTTGAGTTCAGGAGTTCAAGACCTGCTTGAGCAACATAGCGAGACCTTGTCTCTAAAAACTATTAAAAAATTAGACAGGGATAGTGTCACAACCCTGCAGTCCCAGTTACTCAGAAGGCTAAGGCAGTAGGATCCCTTGAGCCCGTGAGTTTGAGGCTACAGTGAGCTACGATCATGCTACTGCACTCCAGCTTGGGTGACAAAACTAGATGAACTAGAGACTGTCTCAAAAAAAAGTAAAAAGAAAAATAGCGTTTTATATATCATGAGTCTGAATGTCTAGTTGAGCCTAAGAAGACCCCTGGTGAGTACTGCACAGTACTACTAATTATTTTTATAAAAGTGAATAAAGGCATGAAATATAAAATCATGTTTTAGAACATGCATACTACTGTATTCTTTGATCTTTATAATAATACTGACATCTTAAAGTATATGCCTTTGCTATTTTATTAATCTATCTTATAAAAATAAATTCAACATTTACTGAATTTACTGAATTGCCAGTATTTACTGAATTGCCAAGAAATTCAGTATTTACAACGTAGAAAGACAAAAGTTATGTTCTCAAACTTTTGAAAATCAGATCTTTTAACAATCGAATGCAGAGGTTGGCAAACTTTTTCTCTGAAGTCATTAGCAAATATTTTAGATTTCGGAGGCCATACAATCTATGTTTCAACTATACAACTGCTGTGGTAGCTGGAAATCAGCCACAGATAATACATAAACAAATGAGCATGGCTGTGTGTCAATAAAACTTTATTTATGAACACTAACATTTGAATTTCTTTTTTGTTTGTTTGTTTGCAGAGGCGGTGCCTTGCAATGCTGTGTAGGTTGGGCTCAAACTCTTAGCCTGAAGCAATCTTCCTGCCTTGGATCCCAAAGCACTGGGATTATAGGCATGAGCCACCACACCTGGCCTGAAATTTGAATTTCATGTAATTTTCACATGTCACAAAATATTATTTTCAATAATTTGAAAATGTGAAAACCATTCTTAGTTCAAAAGCCTTATAAAAACAGACAATGGATGAAATTCGGTCTTTAGGCTATAGTTTGTCAACCCCTAATTTAATGAAAGGCAGAGACTCCATCTATATATGATAAACATATGTACGTGTATGCACAAATTTGCATCCAGTTTCTGGAAGTTGAGTCTGTTCTCTAACATCCTTGTTAACTTTAAAACTCTATGATCATTTTCGAACTCATTCTAATTAGAGGTCCTTTCTGGCAATACTCCAATTACCTGAACTCATCACTCTAAGACAGGTTTTACAACTTCTTCCCCATACTGTGAATTTTCACCTTCTTTTCGCACTTACTCTTTTGAAGAAATTTCAAGTTGTTAGCTGAGTTAGCATATTCTATCTTTTAATCTCTACACTATTTCAAGGGTCTTCTAACTGTTCCATTTTCTACAAAGCATCCCATACAATGTGCTCATATTAGTCTTTCCAACACAAAGAGTGCTCAAAAGCCAACTGCCTGCTGTTTTTTATTTAATTTTTTTCAGAGACAGGGTCTTGTTCTGTAGTGCATGCTGGAGTGCCCAGGCAAAACTCACTGCAGCCTCAAACTCCTGGGTTTAAACAATCCTCCCGCTTCAGCTTCATAAGTAGCTGGGACCAATGATGTGTGCCAGCATGCTCAACTACTTTTTAAATTGTTTGTAGAGATGGGGGATCTTGTTATGTTTCCCAGGCTGGTCTTGAACTCCTGGCCTCAAGCAATCCTTCTGCCAGAGCCTCCCAAATTGTTGGGATTCCAGGTATAAGCCACTGTGCTGGGCCTGGTTTTTTTACTTTAATTAATTAATTTTTTTGTCTGTTTTAAAAAATAATTTTTCAAGAAAGGTTAAATAAAACCTTAGCCTGCTTTCAAGATGCTCTACTGTATGGCTACTGATATGGTTTGGCTCTGTGACCCCACCCAAATCTCATCTTGTAGCTCCTGTAATTCCCATGTATTGTGGGAGGGGCCTAGTGGGAGATAACTGAATCATGGGGGTGGGTCTTTCCTGTGCTATTCTCATGACAGTCAATAAGTCTCATGAGATCTGATGGTTTTATTTATTTTTATTTTTGGGGGGATGGAGTGTTGCTCTGTCACCCAGTCAGCCAGGAGTGCAGTGGCACAGTCTTGGCTGACTGCAACCTCAGTCTCCCAGGTTCAAGTGATCCTACTGCCTCAGCTTCCCAGGTAGCTGGGATTACAGGCACACGCCAACCCTCCTGGCTAATTTTTGTATTTTTAGTAGAAATGGTGTTTCACCACATTGGGCAGGATGGTCTTGAACTCCTGACCTCAAGTGATCCGCCCACCTCAGCCTCCCAAAGTGCTGGGATTACAGGCATGAGTCACTACGACAGGCTGAGATCTGATGGTTTGAAAAACGGGAGTTTCCCCGCACAAGCTGTCTCTCTTTGCCCGCTGCCATCCACGTGAGACATGACTTGCTCCTCCTTGCCTTCCGCCATGATTGTCCCCAGTCACATGGAACTGTAAGTCCATTAAACCTCTTTCTTTGGTAAATTGCCCAGTCTTGGGTATGACTTTATCAGCAGCATGAAAATAGACTAATACAGCTACTATTCCTCTGTACCACCTTACCTCCTCTTACCAAGTGAAATATGGTCCCTGTTAAAAGAACACATGTGTATCGCTATGTCTCTGCCTCTGATTACCATGTCTCCCTTGCCTTGCTATCTGTATTCTTCCATTCTTTCAAGATCCTCTTCGCTTTCCCTCTCCCCTAAAAAACCTTCCTGATTGATATAATCTCCAGTGATCTTTCCTCCTCTATGTTTATGACATACATTAACAAATGCTAAACTGCTGTTTACCTTTGACTAGTACATTTTCTCACGCAAGCAATCACAAACCTTGTTGAATAGGAAAAATGGTTTCATGCCTAGCATAATACTTTATAACTTTAGGCATTCATTAGTGCTTGTTAATGACAATTAAAAATTATTGTATCAAACATGCATTTAATGAAGTACCAACAACATAATAGATATAAAAAAACCTTTTTTCTTTTTCTTTCTTTTTTTTTTATTTGAGATGGAGTCTAACTCTGTCACCCAGGCTGGAGTGCAGTGGCATGATCTTGGCTCACTGCAACCTTCACCTCCTGGGTTCAAGCCTTAGCCTCTCCTGCCTTAGCCTCTCCTGCCTTAGCCTGCCAAGTAGCTGGGACTGCAGGTGTGCACCACCACACCCAGCTCATTTTTGTATTTTTAGTAGAGATGGGGTTTCACCACGTTGGCCAGGCTGGTCTTGAACTTCTGACCTCAGGTGATCCACCTGCCTCAGCCTCCTAAACTGCTGGGATTACAGGTATGAGCCACCATGCCCGGCCTAAAAAAAACCTTTGTTAAAGAGTAAAATACATCCCAAGTAAGAATGTTACTTACTTTTACCAATATGTCTTTTACAACTTGATTGCTATCATTATGAACGCTGATATAACTGGAAAAGGTCTCTCCCAAAAATATATTCCTGTAAAATGAAACAAGTATTTATTTAGGCAGAAATCCATTCACGTTTCTTTTTTTTTTTTTTTTAGACTGAGTCTCGCTCTGTTGTCCAGGCTGGAGTGCAGTGGCGTGATCTTGGCTCACTGCAAGCTCCATCTCCCAGGTTCACCCCATTCTCCTGCCTCAGCCTCCCGAGTAGCTGAGACTACAGGTGCCTGCCACAAGCCCCACCAAATTTTTTGTATGTTTAGTAGAGATGGGGTTTCACCGTGTTAGTCATGATGGTCTCGATCTCCTGACTTTATGATCCGCCCGCCTCGGCCTCTCAGAGTGCTGGGATTACAGGCATGAGCCACCGCATCTGGCCCCATTCAGGTTTTACATTAGATATTCTGTGTGAGAATCACTAAGGACTTCAAATGGAGAAACATTTACTAAAGGATAGAAATCTGGTGAAATATTGTTTCAACATTCCTTTGTTCACACTAGGCCACTCATTCATTACCTAGTGCAAATCAAAATATGGATGTAATCTATAAAACATGATATATTTGGCCTTTACTGTACAAAATGCCAGCCTCACTAGAGATAAGACTCACTGAAATTAGATCTATGCTAAAGTCAGGATTTGTATTTGAATAGGTTAGAGAAAGCCAAGTTTCTATTCTTGAAATAACTTATTCCCTGAATCTAGAAGAGCTCTAAGTGATTGATATTGGGGTATTTTTACCAATTTATTTTATTTCCTAAGTTATCTGAATAAAAATCACCAGTGGTTTTATCTTACATAGTTTTATATTTTTTACAGTTTTTCAAGACGCTAGTCAATGACCACATTCTGTAAAACTATAAAAACAATCTGTAAAATTTCCTTCTGTCTCAAATTCTGTCTGTTACAAACAGAGTGGAACCAGAGGCTTCTACCTTATTATTAATCTAGAATAATAATACAGCTAAGAATAACAGAAGAAATAAATTTAGAGTTCCTAATTAGCTGACAAGTCTGATAACTCATTTTGGGAGAGGACTATGAGGCAAAAAACAGAGTGGCTTCTGAAAAAGACATTTACATTAGTAGTTAAAAGAGTATATGGCCATTAAAAATATAGTAAGATCGGAAGAAGAAAGTAAAAATTCTATTATCCTAGGAACCACTATTAACATTTTATTTTGGTATATATATATTTTTTAAAAAAACAGAAAGCCATAATCACATAGTATGATTTTTTAATAATCTTTTTGCCCCTCAAATGTATCATGTGCTAGGCGTGGTGGCTCACGCCTGTAATCCCAGCACTTTGGGAGGCTGAGGTGGGTGGATCACCTGAGATCAGGAGTTCAAGGTCAGCCTGGCTAACATAGCGAAACACGGTCTCTACTAAAAACACAAAAATTAGCCAGGGCAGTGTGTGCGCCTGTAGTCCTAGCTACTGGGGAGGCTGAGGCAGGAGAATGGCTTGAACCCAGTGGGTGGAGGCTACACTAAGCAGAGATGGCACCACTGCACTCCAGCCTGGGCAACAGTGCGAGACTCCATCTCAGAAAGAAAAAAAAAAAAAAAAAAAAAGGAAATGTATCATGAGCGTTTCCCCATCCCATAGTTCTTTTTTGAAAACATAATTTGTAGGCTTTACAAGGTTTCTTATGTGAATATGTCATTCTTACCCAAAATTTTGTGGTAAAGTCAGCATTTCTCCCAACATTAAAACTTCTGCACCATTAACAGTTGAAGGATCATCTCTCATCAGTTGGTTAAAGAGATCTCCTGAATGAAGAGAAAAACATAAAATTCTAACATCTACCTTTTAAATAACTTTTTCTTACATAAAGAACTAGGAGAGATATTTTAAAAAACAACCTCTTGACAAAAATGATATTTAAAAAGTCTAACTTCTAGATTTTAATACAACAAATCATGTCAAAGAAATTCTGATCTCACAGGGAATGGACACTTTAGAAACAAAGAAAAATGTACGTCATGAGATAGAAAATATACTAGAGAAAGCCCCAACAATTCTAAACAAAGGGAATACTAATATATACATTGACGCAACACTTGAGGATGAAGGCAATTTTAATAGTATTATGAATATGAATGTATCTTAAACTGTAAGTCTCATATTGCCATATGATATCAACATAATTTGGACTTGCAGAGTATAAGTAAGACCTGTTACTCAGATGGCTACCTTTCACATGATACAAAAATAGGCAACAAAGAATCCAGCAAATGGTTAGCATAAAATTCACAGGGCTAGGCTTAGTCCAAGTTAATGTAGGCAATTCAGGTTTCAACTTTTCCCTAGGTGCAAATAGAGGAAAGCATGTGCCATACCAGGTAAGTCTTTCTCTTCACATGTTACTGGGATATTGGTGAATAAAGTAGGCTTAGTCAGCCGCATCACTGTGAAGTAAAAAAGTAAAAGAAAACAAAACATTAATACTGCTTAGGGTTAATATTCTCAAGTCTAGTGTATGATATTCATCCATTTTATACTAACATAAAATATAACCTAAATACTTCTTAAACATAATACTACATACTTCCTAAGGTTATCACATATCAGTGATTTATTAAGAATTTTAATGTTACAAAAGAATCTTATATAAGAACCATTTACAACTTATGAATTATAAAAAGTAAATATAAATACAATATACATTCATTATAGAAAAACTGGAAAATAAAATTTTTAAAGCTTAAAGAATATTAGGAGCATAAGGCTTTAAAAAGTCTAAGTGACTTCGCTGTAAACAATATCAACAAAATATTAACACTGGAAGCTCAATAAGTGTTTTTCTGTTTGTTTGTTTTGAGACAGAGCCTTACTCTGTCACCCAGGCTGGAGTGTAGTGGCGCAATCTTGGCTCACTGCAACCTCTGCCTCCCAGGTTCAAGCAATTCTCCTGCCTCAGCCTCCCAAGTAGTTGGGATTACAGGAATGCACCACCATGCCTGGTTATTACTATTATTTTTTGTAGTTTTAATAGAGACGGGGTATCCCCATGTTGGCCAGGCTGGTCTCGAACTCCTGACCTCGAGTGATCTGCCTACCTTGGCCTTCCAAAGTGCTGGGATTACAGGCATGAGCCACCACGCCCACCCAAGTGTTTCTTTAAGTAATATTAATTCTGTGTAGAAATTATAAAAATGTCAGTTAACATATAGGTTTATATAATTCTAACCAAAACTAAGATTTATTTTTGCAACATGATAGAATGTGTCTAAAGTTTATCTAAAGAAACAAATAGATGAAAATAAGCTAAGGAAATTAACGGAGGAAAAAAAGAGGAAGAACTGAATTTACTATATATTATAACATATTTAAATCCATAATCAACTAATCGGCTTATTAAGACCATACCGATATATTAGTTTTTCGAAAAAAAGATAGGATATACTTATATAAAGAAACAGCTGGGAGTGGCTGGGCACGGTGGCTCACACCTGTAATCCCAGCACTTTTGGAGGCCGAGGTGGGCGGATCACGAGGTCAGGGAATCAAGCCAATCCGGCTAACACAGTGAAACCCCGTCTCTACTAAAAATACAAAAAATTAGATGGGTGTGGTGGCGGGCACTTGTAGTCCCAGCTACTTAGGAGGCTGAGGCAGGAGAATGGCGTGAACCCGGGAGGCGGAGGCTGCAGTGAGCTGAGATCGCGGCACTGCACTCCAGCCCAGGTGACAGAGCAAGACTCCATCTCAAAAAAAAAAAAAAAAAAAAAAAAAGAAAAAGAAATAGTTGGGAGAGAGATTTTAAAAAAACAACGTCTTGACCAAAAAAAAAAAAAAAAAAAAAAAAAAAAATCAATTAAGGGATTAAAAGTTAAAAAATCAATTAGTAAAAGGATTTTTCATTATAAGGCACAAAGACAAATGGTTATTAGCTATCTGGAAAAATAAAATTTAACTAAAAAATTCATTTTAAATATAAATTAAACAAACAAAAATTAAGCCACAGAAAAGTAAAAAAAATTGAAATAGAATATTAAATATAATCTAATGAGAGTAAACACTCTATAATTTTTTTAAAAATCTTTTTCAGTTTCTTCTAGAGTGTCATTTGACCACATCAAAATAAAAACAAAAACATAAAATTTAAAAACCATAAAAACTTGTAAAAATTTTCAGAAAATGAATCACAGAGGGCTAGTTCATTATCAAGTCTGGCCGGGCGCGGTGGCTCATGCCTATAATCCCAGCACTTTGGGAGTGCCAAGGCGGGTGGATCACGAGGTCAGGAGATCGAGATCATCCTGGCTAACATGGTGAAACTCTGTCTCTACTAAACAAAAATTAGCCGGGCGTGGTGGCGGGCGCCAGTAGTCCCAGCTACTCGGGAGGCTGAGGCAGGAGAATGGGGTGAATCCAGGAGGTAGAGCTTGCAGTGAGCCAAGATGGCACCAACTGCACTCTAGCCTGGGCAACAGAGCAAGACTCCATCTCAAAAAAAAATATATATATATTCCTTCAAATCAAAGCCAAAATACTATAAAGACTATAGACCTACATGGTCAATTCAGAATATAAGTAGCGTTCTAGCATATGTAAAAATGCACCGCCCAACTACTAATTAACCAACTATGGTATTCATATCAAATTTAGTGGCTTTCTCATTCTGGTTTCAGCTTAAATGTCATCTTTTTCAGAAAAAAAGTTAACAGGTCATTCTGTTTCTCTCATGGTACCTTGACTCCTTTCCAAACTCCATGAGGTCTAGGCTCTTATGTACTACGTTCAGTTTTGTAGCATCCGTATTTGGTGTAGGTTCTGCTATTCAGGTCTTCCCTGAATAAAATAATGAGCACTTCATGAAAGTCCCTAAATAACTGACATTATTTTGAAAGTGTAAGTTTCAGAAACTGAGGCCAATAATAACCTGCTATATTAAGCAGCTGGCTTTTGAAATACTCAACAAATGCTACCCTTAAAATTTCTGAAGTTACTTTGTATAGCTAGCATTTACTGAGCATTTACTAGCGCCAGGCATTATGCTAAATATTTTACAAGCTGAACACATTTAATTCTCATGAGTACTCTCTAAGTTGGTATTACATTAATCCCAATATACAGATAGGGCATTGACAATGCCTGTAGAGGGTAATTTGCATACAAAGGACTATATTAGTAGATAAGTGGTAGAATCTAGATTTGAACCCTGGTGATTTCACTCTGTTAAAAAATAATTCTCTATAATAATTATTAATTATAAGCCTACAGCCATAAACCTGGAATGTCATGCCTTACCAGAAATATCCCATGGGATTTCAAAGTAGGAATCTATTCCAAAAAGAGTATCAATCAGCTACAGATGAATATGGGGAGGTGTTTCCAACCTTCACTCTTATTTTTAACTAAGAAAACAGATTAAAAAGTGCCCTGAAAACAGATAAAAAGGTGCCCTTGAAAGTGATACAGAGGAGGCAGTTTCTCCCACAGCTAAAATCACTTATTTTTTTTGAGACAGGGTCTCACTTTGTTACCCAGGTTGGACTACAGTGGTATGATCATGGATGACTGCAGTCTTGACCTCCTGAGCTCAAGTGATCCTCCTGCCTCAGACGCACCCCTTCCCCCTGCCCACCAAGAGGCTGGGACTACTGTCACATGCTACCATGCCTGGTTAACTTCTGTATTTTTTGTGGAGACGGGGTTTTACTATGTTGCCCAGGCTGGTAAGTTCACTTTTAGTACTAGTTGGTGTTTTCTATTTCTTCCCCATTATTATTTTCATTTCATTAGAAAAGAAATCTGAATAAAGAGAAAATACAGTCTCAAGGGAATCCTAAAACGTATTTTTTTTTTTTTTTTTTAGTGCCCCGGAGTTCACCCAAACGTGTAGCTAACATATTTGCTTATTATAGGTTCAAATTTCTATTATAAACAAAAGTCCTATAAAGCTTAGTTTTTCATGATTCTTGTAGTTTGCAGGCGATGAGATGGTGGGTAAAAAATGATCCTCCATTAAAAACAAAGCGATTCCAAACTGGTATTAAAAGCAACTTTTTTCTTCATATTTTCAGATTATGGCCTTTGCAGCAACACAGATGCAACTGCAGGCCATTATCCTAAGCCAATTTACGCAGGAACAGAAAACCAAATACCACGTATTCTCATAAGTGAGAGATAAACAATGAGTATACATGGACACAAAGAAGAGAACAATAGACACTGAGGCCTATTTGAGGGTGGAAGGTGACAGGGGGATGAGGACTAAAAAAATACCTATTGGGTATTATGCTGATTACCTGGGTGACAAAACTATTTGTACACCAAACCCCTGTGGCACACAATTTACCCATATCACAAATCTGCACATGTACCCCTTGAACCTAAAATAAAAGTTAGAAAGAAAAACAAAATCAGTGGACTTCCATTTTAAGCAACCTCAGCCATCTCAGGCTATGAAGAATCCCTCTGAAGGGAAAATTTACCATGCATTACCAAGCTCCTACCATGATAGGCACTGTGCTTCAAGGTAAACATGTCTATATTCCTAGTAAGTGCACCCTTATTTTTCTTAGGGAGCTGGTGTGTTTAATAGTAGTAACGACATGTAAGCTGCATGAGGGCAAGGTCCATGTCTGTCTCCTTCCCTAATATATCCTAGCACCTAGTGCAAAGTAGGCATTTAAATATGTTAAACAAATATACGTGCTTGTACAAAACTTTTATTGTTTTAATCCCTTTGAGCATTTTTATGAGGTGATGTGTAAAACCAATTACAAGATTATGCTTATGGGGAACCTACAATGACTCTAATCATCAGCCAAGTAATAATTAGCACTAACTATCATACATACTGAATTATCTGTATTAGAAGAAATAGACAATAGTTTGATCCCTTATTCAACATTTGATACTTTCCTTCAAAACAGTTTATAGTCTTAAAGATACATTATAGTTTTAGGCGAAGTATACATTTTGTATCTTTGTTTGAAAACAGCCTATCAATTATTATTACATATATTTGGAAACATCATAATGAATCTAGACTGGTCTCCCACTTTGAACTACATTCATGCCACATAAATAGCATTCCAAAGAGAATTGTTTTGAGTTTTATTTTTTAAAAAATTACACTTGAGGTGAGTAAAGAAAAAACTACAGTAAAATTAGATTTTAGAGATTAACCAAAATCCAAACTATACAACTTAATTCATAAGACTAATTCAATCACAGTTTGTAACAAAACGAAAGGCACAGAACATTTTTACCTTCATATTCAGTGTAAACAATAATTTATCACATTTAAAAGAAGGCTGCTAATAAGTAGAACTCAGAAAGTTCTTGACTTAATTGACAAGCCTAGGAATTCTAAAAAGCCACTAAAAATTTAAAAATCTGTAAAAATTATTTCATCTATTTCAATCCATATTCATTTCATTCAGAATATTCTTTTTGACAATCAGTGGAATTTATTACATACTAAAAATAACACCGTATTTATGCACAAATAAATTAATTTTTCCAGAAAGAGCTAATCTTCCTTTAAGAAGACTTCCCACATATTCACAATACATAATATCACAGAACACCCATATTTGGCCTAAATGCCTCTGAATTGTAGCATTACAAGATGGAAGTTCATTGTGCCTAATAATTTGATTGAGTTTTGTCCAAATGTCTTCCAGAGTTTGGCTGTTACAAATAGTGTGTTCTATTGTCCATCTTGCTCTATAAAGTGAGTGTAAATTTAGTGCCTTTAAACTATCTTGCAATTTTTTAGACAAAGGAGAAACTTTTTCAGTACAATTACTGCTAGGAAGGGAAATACTCCAAGATCTCCTGTTGTGCTGTTTTCCCTTCTCTGATTGTTTACCCAGATTTCCAGAATTAGTCTGTTCCTTCAATGCGTGTGATGAGGTTAAATGCTGCTTTTTCAAACAAGGTTGAAACTCCAATAGATCTACTGTGCAATCATAATTGTGTGACTTAGCATCATGTTCTGAAATGGTTAAGTACTGTTTCACATCTTCAGCTGCCTCTCGAGAAATCACAGGTGGTGATCTTTTAGGTCTGAGTGGAAGCTTGGACCCAACATATGGAAACCAAGGTATAAATCTTGATAGCGGACGAGTAGGAAAGTCTTGAATTGCTTTTTCCACAATTTTTGGCAGTTGTGTGGGATCACTCTCATATGGTCGATAATGTAATATTACTTCTGTAGTCATTCTGCAGTAATCCAGTTACTCTTAGTGATGAGAAAAATTTCTTAGCTGAACTCCTCAGAGCTAGAATGTAAATTTATCATTGCAAGATTGTCTCTCTTGCCAAATCAGAGGGAAACAGGACCTAAAGTGGAAGTATTGCAAAGAATAAGATATGGTAGGGATATTCTGCCTACCAATATGCAGGGAGAAAAGGAAAAACAAAAACCAAAAACCAATCCCAATGTGGTATTTTACCAAAGTCCTTTTGATAAATGTGAATGTAATCTACAAACCTGAAAATTCTTTCTCTTACCAAAATAAGGAATCTAAATTAGATGCCCTATAAAATCACTTCCAGCCTAAAAATGCTAGTAGTCAACATGTTTAACTCAACAGATATAAAGGACTTGGAAGTATCAATATTACTATATTAAGTAATAATAGTCTTAAAACTTTAGCCAGAAACAAAGAGTAAATGAATCTTAAAATACTGTTTTCATATGAAGAAAATTAACAAAAAACGTAATATTTAAAAATTTCAGGCAACTAAATTGAGGACAATAAAATCACTGTAAATTCTAATCCAACATGGTAAAAACCTGTCTCTACTCAAAATACAAAAAAAAAAGTAGCGGAGTGTGGTGGTGCATGCCTGTAGTCCCAGCTACTAGGGAAGCTGCAATACCCTGAACCTGAGAGCCAGAGGTTGCAGTAAGCTGAGATCGTGCCACTCAGCCTGGGCGACAGAGCAAGACTTCATCTCATTAAAAAGAAAAAAAAGAAAAAAAAAAATTCTAATCTGTCTGGAAGAAAAGTAATCATTTTATACTTAAAATTATATAGATCTGCCAGGTGTGGTGGCTCACCTGTAATCCCAGCACTTTATGGGGGCCAAGGTGGGCAGATCACAAGGTCAGGAGTTTGAGACCAGCCTGGCCAACATGGTGAAACCCCATCTCTACTAAAAATAACAAAAAACAGCCGGCCGCGGTGGCCTGTGCCTGTAATCCCAGCTACTCGGGAGGCTAAGGCAGGAGAATCACTTGAACCCGGGAGGTGGAGGTTTGCAGTGAACTGAGATCGCACCACTGCACTCCCATTGCACTCCAGCCTGGGTGACAGGGTAAGACTCTGTCTCAAAAAAAAAAATTATATGGATTCCACCAAACAAATATATAGATAGAATATTTGATGATTTCATGTCATTCTCTACAGTAAAAACTAAAACCATACATATGGTTTAACTTTGCTAATATGGTTTAACCAGGCTAAGAACCAGTTTTGTGACACTGTCTTCTCCTCATAACCCACGCAACTAAACAGCATGGGGACCCTAATACCATGGCTTTGAATTCCAATTTGGAGGAGAACAAGAAGTCTAGACTCCTATTTTTTTCTCTTAGAGCACAGAAGTCCTCAAGTTGCCCCAAATTAAGTCACTGATAATAAATTCCAGCATATGGTACATAGGCTTAAGAATGGAGCCTTCCAATATCTGCAAGTTAGGCTTCCTAATCAGACCCAAAGCTTTAAGAGCCATAAAACAGGCTTTTTCCCATCTTAACTGCAGAAAAAAATAAGTTGAATCACTTCTCCCCCAAAATCATTAGAGAATTACTTGATGAGGGTTCTCCCATTGCTAGGATAACCATGAGTATGGACTCTTGTCATGATGTCACAATAGAATCACTGTCCGATTCTAGAGTCAGAAGAATAATTTCATGATTCTTTTTACCTACTGATACTGCCCACTAACAGATCTGACAACTCTCAAATTCATAAATAATTGTGATCTTTAACATCCATAATTTTAAATACGGATCTAAATGTTATCACATATTCTTTCAAGAATAATGCACTCATGTTTTTCTTCCCTGTTCCTTACACTTTCACATTGTAAAATATGGCATCGAGTAATTCTCTTGTCTAAAGTCAATCAGTGTTATACTCAAGAGACAATTTTTTTTTTTTTTGAGACAGATTCTCACTCTGTCACCCAGGCTGGAGTGCAGAGGTACGATCTTGGCTTACAGCAACCTTCGCCTCCAGAGTTCAAGTGATTCTTGTGCCTCAGCCTCCTGAGTAGCTGGGACCACTGGTGCACACCATCACGCCTGGCATTTTTGTATTTTCAGCAGAGATGGGGTTTCATAATATTGGCTAGGCTGGTCTCGAACTCTTGAACTCAAGTGATCAGCCACCTCACCCAACCAAGAATAACAAAATATTATCTTTAACATTTTACATATTAAAAGATAAAGTGAACCTAAATGACCACTTAAATTGATACATTTGGCATCCAGCATCAGTAAATTGAAATGCTGTGAAAACTGTTGATCAACTAGAACAATGGGTTAACTAGAAGATGGTACCACAGAGGTTTAATAAAGTTGAAACTATCAATTTTAAAGCACTTACCAGTTTAGGCTGTTTATTCTTTTTTTTTTTTTTTTTTTTTGAGACAGGGTCTCACTCTGTCACCCAGGCTGGAGTGCAGTGGCCAGATCTCAGCTCACTGCAAGCTCCGCCTCCTGGGTCTACGCCATTCTCCTGCCTCAGCCTCCCGAGTAGCTGGGACTACAGGCGCCTGCCACCATACCTGGAGAATAATTTCATGATTCTTTTTACCTACTGATACTGCCCACTAACAGATCTGACAACTCTCAAGTAGCGGAGTGTGGTGGTGCATGCCTGTAGTCCCAGCTACTAGGGAAGCTGCAATACCCTGAACCTGAGAGCCAGAGGTTGCAGTGAGCTGAGATCGTGCCACTCAGCCTGGGCGACAGAGCAAGACTTCATCTCATTAAAAAGAAAAAAAAGAAAAAAAAAAATTCTAATTTCTTTCTTCGATTCCTCAGAGAAAAGGCTTCTTTATAACATTTAAAATCAGAAATCTCTTCATGATA